GGACTGCAGTAACAGGCAAGTTTAAATATCAACCCGGGGTCTAGATCTACTGCTTACTCCGTGATTCTCTATTATCTAGCAAACTAAGTCGAGTGATTGTTGTGAAAAGTAAAAGCAACAAGAAAGCAGTAAGTTGTTCGGGTTTCTAAAGCAGGCAAGAGTCACTCGGGATTGAGTCCCCCTAGCCCCTTAGTTAGGTTCAATTGCAATTCCCTGGGTTGATTTACTATTGATTAGACTGCGGAAGATCCGACAGTAGCTTGGAATCTCTTAAGCTGACCAAGCCCTCTCAGTCTAACTACCCGGCAGACGACTAGTCTTCACCGGGATAGAAAGCTGAGGCTATGAACACAGAACTCCACTACTGGCGCCAAGAACACCAGTACAAAGCAGTAAACTGGCTAACTCTCGTATAGCCAATCTCCTACTATCGAATGAAGAGGCTCTAACAACCTAATCAGATTCTATCTATCTCAGGTTGCAGCAGAAATTGAGAAAAGCTGATCAGACTCAAATCAATTCATGAAACATGCGTCATTCGATTAAAATCAAACAGTAATATCATCCCAAGTCATTACAATCAAATCCCTAACACAAGGAACTAGGGTTCTTCATACCCAAGTGAGAGAAGGGTTCTACTCCATAGAGAGAGAAGAGAAAACAAGAATCGGATTAGTCATACTCATAACGATGAGGATAATCTGCTCCGGGACGATGATTTCCACTCCTATGACGATCTCCAAGCTCGATTCGATGAAATCCAGCTCCAAGACAGCTTTTAGGATGTGTTCTTCGCACTTTCTCTCTCTAGGGCTCTATTTTTGCTCTCAAAACACGATTCTCTCACTTCTGGCTCGGAATAGGCTCTAAAACAGGGTTTCCCGACTTGCACGGCCAGGGTGCACGGCCGTGCACATCACCAATCTGGCCGTGCACTCCAAAACGCGCCGTATCATTAAATTCGGCCTTCAGCCATCTTGCACGGCCAGGTGCACGGCCGTGCAATCTTCAGGGCCTGCCCGTGCACATCCTCGGCATAAGGCGCACGGCCAACTTGCAACCGTGCACGGCCGTGCAGCCTCCCTGGTCTGCCCGTGCAGCTCCCAAAAACCTCGCCATTCGTCCGTTCTTCGTCCAATCGACCCCAGACTCGCTCCTAAGCCTTCATTCACGTACTAGGACCTGAAACATCACAAACAAGCACAACCTAGCGTGAAATCGGCCTAAAACACGAGAATCAACACCTCAAACGGTGTAAGAACGGGGGTAAAAACATGTGTAAATGATGGTCTATCATCTAACAATGTAGATGCCTCGTCGTATGTGGACTCCTTGGGTATTTCTAGCAGGGTCACGAGTGAGATGAATGATGCGCTGATCGCTCCTGTATCGGTGCTGGAAGTCAAGGAGGCATTGTTCCGGATTGGTAGCCATCAGGCCCCCGGGTCCGATGGATTCACGGCAGCCTTTTTCCAAGTGCACTAGAGGTGGTGGGGACGTTAATCACGGATGCGGTCCTCAGCTTTTTTCGCTCGGGTCGGCTCCTACACAGCTTCAATCACACCCTCATTTCCTTACTGCCGAAAGTTTTGAATGCCGAGACAATGAGGCAAATTCGGCCCATAGGTTTGTGTCAGGTATTTTATAAAATCATTGCTAAGATTATGTCTGCTAGGCTTAGTTTGGTCTTACCCGAGGTTGTGAGCTCTTCTCAAAATGGTTTTGTGCGTGGTAGACTGATTACTGACAATATTCTGATTGGCCAAGAGGTTATGCAATTTCTGAAAACTAAAGTTCAGGGTCGAGACAAGTGGATGGCACTTAAGCTAGATATGGAAAAAGCTTATGACCGGGTGGAATGGTCGTTCCTGTTGCTGATTATGGAGCAGATGGGATTCTGCTATGAATGGCGGCGCTGGATTTCTGCGTGTATCTCCACTGTCTCCTTCTCAGTTCTAATCAACGGGCATCCGCACGGGTATTTTAAGCCCCAACGGGGATTGCGTCAAGGTGATCCGCTGTCGCCTCTTCTCTATGCTATTTATTCGGAGGCCTTTTCGGCTAAATTGTCTTGTGAGATTATGGCTGCGAAGTTGCATGGTTTACGAGTTCATCGGCATGCACCTTTGACTTCGCATTTATTGTTTGCTGATGATACTTACCTGTTCTTGAGAGCCTCATTACCGGAATGTGCTAACTTACTGTCTTTACTAGATGAGTTGGAGAGGGTTAGTGGGCAAAGAGTTAATTTTGCTAAGTCCTCTCTATGTGTTAGCTCTAATGTTTCTGACCAGGAGCGATTGGCCTTGAGTTCTTTTCTGGGGGTGGCTGATTCGGACATGATTGACAAATACTTGGGGCTGCCAGTTCATATTCAAAGGTCCAAGACGCAAACCTTTCGATTTGTTGAGGAGGGGCTCGCAGCAAGGATCAGGTCGTGGAAAACTAAGGCCATGTCCTTGGCTGCGAAGGAAACGGTGATTAAGTCTATTGGTTCGGCCTCATGCATTTATGCAATGTCTGCTTTTAGATTACCTTCTTTCACATGTCGCAGGTTAAATGGCCAATTATCGCGATTTTGGTGGGCGGAAAAAGACAAAGAAGATGGGATTCATTGGCTTTCCTGGCAGGAAGTGTGTGTCAGTAAATTTGCAGGGGGATTAGGCTTTCAGGACTTTGAACGTTTCAACATTGCCCTGTTGGCGAAACAAGCCTGGCGAGTGCTAATGAACCCGGAGTCCACATTGGCGTCTTTATACCGTGCGAGATACCATCCTCATTCATCATTTTTGGAGGCGGCAGCGGGGCCAAGACCATCCTGGGCTTGGCAAGGTATTCTTGCTGGGAGGGACCTTCCGCTGCGCGGTCTACGTTGGCGGATCGGGGATGGTTCTACGGTGCAAGTTCTAGCGGACAACTGGCTCCCCTCAAACCCTCCGTCCATTCCCATGTTGCTGCCGCATGTGACCTCCTGTCCGGTCTTTGTGTCGGCTCTCATCTGCCCTTTTACCCGCTCCTGGAATGTAGAATTGTTGTATAGTCTTTTTGTCCCAGCATCGGTGGCTTTAATCCTTTCTATTCCTTTACCGCTGCAGGTTTCTCCGGACAAACTTATTTGGAATCACTCTCCAACGGGAGAGTACACTGTCAAAACCGGTTACCATGTACTCACTGATGAGCTGCTGGCTGCTCACCCGCCCTCCCTTCTGCCGTATGATTGCAGGTTCTGGAAGGTGCTGTGGAGTCTACCACTGCCGCCTAAACTGAAATTCTTTTGGTGGAGAGTGGTCAGAGGCTTTCTTCCAGTTCGAGCTGTGCTTCAAATCAAACGGCTAGTCACAGAGAATGTATGTCCGGTTTGTTCTGACGGGGCCGAGACTATTGCCCACTCCTTTCTACACTGTCGGGTGGCCGTGGAGCTATGGGAGCTTGCTGGATTGAGCAACTTAAGAAGAAGGTTAGAGGGTTTGTCGCCTGCTAATTGTTGGATTGATTTATTCTTTGAATGTCATTTGTCCAAGACTGAGATCGCTGATGTTGTGTTCCTTTGTTGGCGAGTGTGGAAATCACGATGTTGGGCAATCCATAAACACATTCAATACTTGGGAGGACCCCTGTTTCGTCAATACCGCGCGCAGGTGGAGGAGTGGCAGCATGCGTCTTCTCCATTGACCTTACACAGGTCTGGGAGTGGGGCGCCTAGACCACGGAGGGGATCGAACCAGGGAGCGAGTAACTCGTCGGAGGCAGGGACGTGTCCACCTAATGGAGTCCTTGTCCGCTTCGATGGAGCTTGGAAGAAGGAGGTGGGGGGCGGAGCAGGGTTCGTCGGATTCTCCAACAGTGGGCAGCTACTCTTTGCATTCGGCCGATTCTATCCAGGTGTGTCTGAACCTTTTATAGCGGAATTATTAGCTCTTCGAGATGCGATTAACTGGTGTGTCATGCATGGCTTTGTTTCGGTCAATTTCTGTGGAGACTGTTTGCCTTTGATTCGCAGGATACGGACGAAGGATGTGGCACATGGAACAGGCGGTGCGATTCTGGAGGAGGTCTGTTCGGCGATTTCAATGTTCAATTTCTTTGATTGTAATTTTACTCCGAGATTGTACAATAGGGCCGCCCATTTAGTGGCTTCTAGTGCCTTTCATCGACAGTTCGACTATTTGTCGACTGTCGCGTGTGGTTATCAAGTGTCCTGTAATATCTAGAACATAACCTATCTATGACAAAAAAAAAAGTTTGACTTCGTCTATTTATAACGAACGGGAAAAATTCTATCATTCTTATAAGGCAAAAGTTTTATTATCGAACAAAGAAACGTATTGTCGTTAATTATGCAAACACTCAGAAAGACGATTTCATTTCCTTACTACATTTATATTGCAGATTTGAGGACAAAGTTGAGCTAACTTCACCAGCTAAGGTCAATTCTAAGTTTCAACATCCCCACAACGCTTTCAAATAATATTTATTTATTTATATATATATAGGGTACTTGAACATTAGAGCAGGGGTTACTACAGTTGGTCCAGAAACGACCACATGGTCCAATTGAAACGGATAAGTGGCCGAACTCAACTCAGAAGTCAGAGCTCCAAATCCAATTCGCCGGCTCAAAACAAAACCCACCACAAGAACCCGGCTCGCGCTCCCCACGGCCCTCCCCCCGCTTGCTTGTGCCGGACACACGCACGCACCCACCAACTGCCACCAGCCCACTGTATGTAAGCCCAAAGTTTGGGCTCTCTTCTTATTGGCACACCATTTCGGCCCAATATTTTTATCCCCACTAACTGGACCAGGCCCCATACGAATAAGTTTAACAAGTCACAGGGGCCAATGGCGCCAAGAGTTGTAGCGATAAAGTAGGGGGTACGTGGCTTTAATTCACGAGTCCAAGTCATCATTATCCAAGCTTAATAACCGACAATCAATTCACCTCCACTCCCTTCCCTCCACCTCTATCCGAAAAAACCTCGATCCGCTACAACCGTGACCACCGATTCTATCCTCATCTCTGGTCCACAGCCGTCAGATCATAGTTGGGAGTTTACAATCAACCATCATCTACCTCGCAATTGAAAGCTAAAGACGGATATCCATCTTCTCCTCCCGCACCTGATCGCTCATTCCCTCCCAACCCACCATTAATAACGCTAGCAGAAATTCAAAAAAGTGCGAGCGAAATTTGCAGAGTGAGCAAGCAGAGAGCTCTCTTCCAATGGCGAAGCCGGTCTCCATTGAAGTCTGGAACCCAAATGGGAAATACAGAGTCGTCAGCACTAAATCCATGCCGGGAACCCGCTGGATCAATCTTCTCATCGAACAAGACTGCCGCCTCGAGGTATGGAGTTACAACCTCTACTTCCTTTCGTTTTCCCCCCCAATCGAACGTAACGAAATTTCGTGGGGTTTTAGATATGTACCGAGAAGAAAACGATCCTCTCCGTCGAGGACATCATCGCTCTTATTGGAGACAAGTGCGATGGAGTCATCGGCCAGGTAAATTTACAGATTCCACTACTCTGTTTCAGTTCTCTCATCTCTGCTTTCTGCGGTTATGGTGATTTTATTTTTATCCTGTTCCAGTTGACGGAAGATTGGGGGGAGACTTTGTTCGCGGCGCTGAGTAAAGCTGGAGGGAAAGCATTCAGCAACATGGCAGTTGGGTACAATAACGTGGATGTCAATGCTGCTAATAAGTATGGGGTTGCAGTTGGAAACACTCCTGTAAGTTGTTTCTTTTTCAAATGAACTGTATTGGGTTTTCGTATGGGTAGAGGCGGATAATGGCTGGTTTTTGGGGGGTTTTCTTCAGGGAGTGCTTACGGAGACAACTGCGGAGTTGGCCGCATCGCTTTCGCTTGCTGCAGCTAGAAGGATTGTTGAGGCTGATGAGTTCATGAGGGCTGGATTATACGATGGATGGCTTCCGCACTTGTATGTATTGAGCTTTTCTTCCAGCCGTGGCTGCCCACCATGTGTTTAACTAAATGCGTCTGAGACGAGAAGAGTTTGTGATTCTTCTGACTCTGTGTTTGTGGGTAGGTTTGTTGGAAACTTGCTCAAGGGGCAAACTGTTGGTGTCATTGGGGCTGGCCGAATCGGATCTGCTTATGCCAGAATGATGGTACTTTACAACACTTGGCGAAGCTTGTAGTATAGTCTATTGGTTGTTCATGATTACAGCTTGTAGTGTAGTCTATGGTCTGAGTTCTTGTTTGTTTTGATTTATAGGTTGAAGGGTTCAAAATGAATCTCATATACTTCGACCTGTATCAATCAACGCGGCTGGAGAAGTTCGTTACTGCGTATGGTCAGTTCCTCAAAGCAAATGGCGAGCAACCGGTGACCTGGAAAAGAGCATCCTCCATGAGTGAGGTGCTTCAAGAGGCTGATGTGGTAAATTTCTTAATCTAGAGCATCATGTTTATGGTCTTGTTATGTCCTACTGGAGTTTAGTAACATTAGGCCGTCTTATGATGTTGCTTTTTGTAGATAAGTCTTCACCCGGTTCTGGACAAGACCACTTACCACTTGATCAACAAGGAGAGTCTTGCTACAATGAAGAAGGTAAAAGATTTCAAGTTACAAATGAACTTTTTGTCCATGTACAAACCATCTCTCTTACTCCATGGATATGCTTTCCTACAGGAAGCTATCCTGATAAACTGCAGCAGGGGTCCTGTGGTTGATGAAGTAGCTCTTGTTGAACATTTGAAACAGAATCCCATGTTTCGAGTTGGTCTCGATGTCTTTGAGGTAAAATCCAACTCGAGCTATGTCACATCGATGATCACATCCAGGGCCAACGATCAATCTTGTTATTATTGTGCTAGGATGAGCCTTACATGAAACCGGGTCTTGGTGAAATGAAGAATGCTATTGTTGTGCCGCACATTGCTTCTGCTTCGAAGGTAAACTGGCTCCATGAAAATCACAGGATCTTACGATTTGATCAAGTGCTCTTATTACGTACTGTAGATCTTAAGTTCTTAACTGATAATCACAAGTGAACATTTTGCAGTGGACTCGTGAGGGGATGGCAACTCTGGCAGCTCTGAATGTCCTGGTAATTTAAGCTTGAAGTTACAAAGTACAATTACTAGAGGTACCAAGCAACTAGGAACTAATAAAGCCATGGTTTTCAAATTTCATCATGTTGCAGGGGAAGATTAAAGGGTACCCTGTGTGGCATGACCCAAATCGAGTAGAGCCATTCCTGAATGAAAATGCTCCTCCTCCAGCTGCGAGTCCAAGCATTGTGAATGCTAAAGCTCTTGGTGAGCTTCCTTCTAACTCTTGTTCTTTCATCTGTGCCAGGAATTCCCATTTCTACCACAAAATCTTCTTCAAGCCTTGATAATGGCCTTCTCTTGTTGCTCTTCTCGCAGGTTTACCAGTTTCCAAGTTGTGAAAAAACTGCCTTGAATTAAAACCTGCTGCTGAGATCAATATTGTAATCTTTCTCAAATGTTCAGGTGCAGGGCAATTTACAGCCATTTATAATGTACTCTCTTGATATCGTAAGTGGAACATTAACGGTATGCGTATTTAAACCCGAAAAAATGGCCGATATGCTTGTTTGGTCTCTTCCATGTTATGGTATGGCAGTACGTCTAAGCTAACCAGAAGCTTGTGGTTTCAATAAGACGGTTTTTCTGTGTAATACCTCATCCAACTGTTTAAATAAACTAATTATCTTTCGTATTAAATATTAATCAGACTTTTGAAAATACAAAATATTAGCAAATATTTTACAAACATTGTAAAGTTTTCGCATTCTTCCTTTATCGTTAACGATATTTTTGACGGAGTTTCATGTCAACATCGAGATATCTATATTGATGTCCATGTAGGACCATTATAATAATATAATTTGTTTAATAATACTTATTGAAAAAAATAAAAAATCCCAAAATTCCAAACAAAGGTTTCTTCTTCTCATAAGTCTTCCGCATATTCTTCTCACATCCATTCTTCTTATTCATGCGACCCATCTCTAGTCGTCACATGAGCAGATGATGGAGTAGTAGAAAATAAAAAGGTGTCAATCGGGCAGGTTTGAGTCGAGTTAAATCGGGTTGCGGGTTAGTTGGGTTGTGTGTTCGTCGGGTTGCGAGTTTATCGGTTTGGGTTCAATCCAGTGGAGGACCTAAAAATTATATCAAGGGTATTCAACGATAAAACAAAATTATTAAGGATTGTCAAACAATTTTAAGTTCAAATTCTTCCATTACTAAATTAAAATATTACAAAGGAATTTTGCTGTGCAATTGGACAAAGGTTTGTCAATTGACAAACCTATCCCTAACCTAGGTCCGCCCCTGGTTCAATCGGGTTGCAGGTTAGTCCGACTGCAGGTTTATTGGGTTCGGGTTCAATTGAGTTGCGGGAAAATAGGGTAGCGGGTTCATCAGGTTTCGGGTCGGGCTGGTTGTGGGCGGATCGGGTTGCGGGTTGTTCGGAACAACGCATCGAGTTACTTACTCCTTACTCGCAACCAACTTACAAATTTTATTACACTAATTTAAAATATTTTTCATAAATTTTAACCAACTTATTTCTACCTCATATATATACTTAATTTAAAAAAAAAACTAGTCAAAATGTTGAATCAATTTGTATGATGTGCAAACTTGTCATGTAATTAATCATAATTGGTAAAATGCACTAGATAATAGTGATGGTGAATTGGTGATATCAACATTTGCAACCAATAGACACTATTAGCAAACCAAACAAAACACCACTCTAAAAACAAAGAAGAAAAACACTTTTTCTTATCTCAACTTTTTTGCAAGTCGTTGTCAATATTCCTAATTTATATCCATATACAAAATCTAGACAAGACACTAATATTATAAACAACAGTTTATGGGAGATGGAAATCGGGCTTAATATTAAAGGAATTGAAACGTTAGTGGGTCAAATTGGGGGAAATTTTCCCTCATTAGATTTTCATTTTGGTAGGGACAAATTGTAGAGTGAAAGCAAAATGAGAAGAACGAAAAGTGCGGAGGAAAATATTGGAGAAGTGAAAAGTTGGGATGAAGAAATCAAAATGAGAGGGGGAAGTTTCCCACTTAAATGAAAATGAGGTGGGAGAATTAATGAGTAAGATTAAGTTTTCAACCTAAATGTAAAATAATTGCATTTGAGATAGGATAACTCTTTGGATTTTGCTACGGTGACATGCATGTCACCGTGACATGGGCTTTTCGGTCGACCTAATCCAACATGCGGTCGACCGAATGGACTAATTCATGTATGTTGGGTTCCGAGACGTGGTCGACCTCTTATATAATACGGTCGACCGCTTTGGTGGTCTAACAGAATGAAAGGTCGACCCAAATATCTCATAGGCCGACCCTTATGCACCTAACAGGTCGACCTCATTATGAAGAGGTCGACCGCCTTCACACCGTATCCGTATTGGATATGGATTCCAACACCAGAAAGGTTCCACAATTGGACAAGGAAACGAATTGGGTCGACCCATTCACGTCCTAAATCTCTATAAGTACGAATATAAGTCCCCTTCAACGCCACCAAGTCTGAATTAGGTTTTTTTCCGACTTAGAGCCTTTGTGAAGAAGATCGTTCGCGGTTGCTGTTGTACGTGTTGGAAGTGGTTGACCAGGTCTAAGGTGAGGTCGACCTAATGTAGCATTCGCCGTCTTCTTTTTTAATGCGTGATTTCCACCGGCTAACTTGATATATTGTTGGGTGCAGAATTCAATTCGGTCGACCGTGACATCAACCAGGTCGACCTGACGAGACAATTCTTCGTATCTGAATTTAGGCCACAACACTTGGACTTCTGTACTTGCGAGGTAACCCAATTGGTCTACCTAATGGGTTTCAAGGTCGACCGTTTATGTTTTTTTGGTTATTCAACCTGAATGTCGACTTTGGCTTTGTTTGTATGACTATGTTGTGCTTGAAAAGGTCGACCGCGCCAGATATCTGGTCCACCTATCCTTTTTTCGGTTTAATTTTGAACTTACTTTTTGTTGTTAATTGTTATTTTCCTGCTGGATAGGTCGACCTAGGAATAACAGATGTCGACCTGACGAGTTGTGGTAGTCACTATTTGTCTTCCAGGTCGACCTAATACTTTGTCAGGTCGACCACGTCTTTGTTTTTTGGTCAATTGTAGAAATTTGTACTTGAATTATGATTTGAATTTTTCTTTAAATTGTTTAGACGATGACGCATGATGAGAAACTGCATCAAGATTTGGGTGAAATCATGAAATTGTTGAAAGCCACACAAGAGAAGCTGGTGGTGTGTCAAACATAAGTCAATGACTTTCAGAAGTCCATGCGTGATAGAGTGGAGCGATTGTCAGTTCGACTGACAGATATGACTGGGATGATGCATGACGGGTTTGAGAGGCTAGAAGGTGCTATCAAAGATATAAGTGCAGAACGAATGGAGAATGGCGGAAGAAATGGTAAAGGAAAGAAATTTGACTTTGGTAAAGAGGAGGAAGACCATGATGACTCTGAAAATTGCTACCAGAGCATAGACGATTTATTGAAAGAGCACATTTTAAAGGTATCCAAGTATATTCATATGTGATTGAAGATATTAGTATTACAATCACTAGTGCTAATTTATTTTGTTTATATGTTTGACAGAGTGAAACAAAGAATGGCCGCAAGGGTTCCTCTCCTAATTACAAGAGACCGCGATATGAAAGTGACTCCTAGACCACTCCACAGAAGGATCAATTTGTAAGAAAGGGATTATTTAGTGATGATAGCGATGAAGATGAATCTAAGAGTCCTTTCGAAAAGCACGGGGTAAGTTTACGTTACATATTCATCTATAATGTGTGTTTGTGTTCATATGTTACTTTAATTTTAACTATGATTTGTAGGTCATGAAAGTGGAGGGTCTAGAAGGATTCACCAAAAATCTTCAAAATCCAGTTGAAGACTTGTATTATGTTGTTACTAAAGAGAAGGTTGGGGACAAGAATTGGGACAAGTAAGACGTTTTTTAGTACGTGTGGTCGACCGTTTGTACAATAAGGTCGACCGTTTGTCCAATAAGGTCGACCGTGACTGTGAACAGGTCGACCTGTACGTTGCAAATCACAATTGACATTTCTGTTATTTTGATTTTTGCAGTTTGACCATTGTGGACTTTTTTTCTGAAAACGTGCAACGACATTATTTGAGTTCGGTCATTAGCGAGAATAACTGGGTTTGCTCATCAGTAAGTACTATACTACTACGACTTTCGTATGAATTGTGCACTATTTATGTTACGATTTACGATGATTTTGTGTTTGATTGTTGGATGGTAGGTAGTGGATTTGTGTGCAAGGGCACTAACAATGTCTGAAAAACATGATGTGAAAGAGCCAAATGTGTGGTATTTGCCAAATATGTTTTCGGTAAGAGCCGTAATGTCAAATTATTTGTCATAACCTAATTATTTATATTGTACCATGTCAATTCATCTCAACTAAAACATGGTGCAGAAAATGGTACGCGCTAACATGAAGACCAGACAAATTCGTAACAAGTTGATGAATGATGGCGTGGACTTTATGCCGAATGTCAGTGCATGCCAGAAGGTTAGTCTAGTCAATGTCCCTATATCATTAAATTTTGAAAGTGCATTTGTTTGTATTCGCTGTTTATAACATATAGTGAGTGTTTCGTTGCTAGATATTTATGCCAGTTCTTGACGATGAAGCACGTCATTGGTTTCTGTATCTCGTCAATGTCCAGCAAAAAACTGCATTTTTGCTTGACAGTCTACCTTCAACTAGTGAGGCGAATCGTAGGCGTAAATCAGCACTATGCAAGAAATTGGTAAGTGTTTCCTATAATTTTCTGACTACTAAGCGTTACGTATTATGCTAGAAGCTTAAAATATTCGTTATTTGTGTGTAGTTGTCCACTTTGGATGATATTTTGAAACCAGAGCGCATGAGCAATGTAGTAGTACCAAATTTTGGAGATTTCAATTTTGATGAGCTACCAGTTCAACGGCAAAGGAATAGTACTAGTGTGGTGTGCACGTCATGCAGTGGATGCGCTATGGATCCAAGGATCTTGATAGAGTGGTGAGTATATCGTCAAACAAATAACTAGTTTAATTTACACTTTTTTTAGTTGTAACGAAATCTTACATGGCATAATGCAGATAGGAGAAGAACACAAATTACCAGCTCGAAAGGAGATTCTATGGTATCTGGCTACACATTTTGAAAACCATGCACGAGAAAATCTTTTCAAGCATGTAGTAGATGAATGCATGGAACGAGGCAAAGAGAGACAGAGTTCAAACAAAAAAGCAAAGAAATGAAGTCGTTAAGTTACAATGTTGCATTATTTGGACCATACATTGAATTTGTATTTGCGAGATCGTGTCATTTTGGATTTTGAATGTTTATCGTTTATTAGATTTGTTATATAATTATGGATGTGACTGAATTTACGATTTCAATCGTCTAGAACAAGTGGTCGACCACATACTCAAAGCGGGCATACCCAAAGGCAGAGCACAGGTCGACCTCGTGACGCTTAAGGTCGACCTATGATACCGTAGCAAAGTCAAAAACCATGTAAAATAAGTATGGAATCTCGTCTGTTTGGCCTTAATAAAATACGGTCGACCATTCGTGTCAAGAGGTCGACCTGTGCTCACATTTATAATCAATGGTCGACCATTTCAGTAAAGAGGTCGACCTGTTTCACATTTAAAAACAACGGTCGACC